TTTCCTCAAAACTCCTGTGAACCGGCAACTCCCTGAATGCAATGGAAAAGCTCCCCATTGCCCCATCCAGGAGACCCTGACCTGGGGAAGCCCTGGACTGATACCAGAATTCAGTGCACACAAAGCTGGGCATGCAGGTTTAAAGAGAAACAGATGCGGACATAGAAGATTTATTCCCCCTCTTTATTCCATTCAAGATGGCTTTTATGTTGAAGAACCAAAAGACAGTTACCTTTAAGATAATTCCAAGACATGAACTCGGAGACCCGATACAGAGAGACGCTTTAGAAATACAAACAAATAATGACTGTCTCTTCCGGCAGCAGCTGACTGGTTCTGATAGGAAGTTTAAGTCCTCAGCCTGGGGATGCTGCCCAACCTCGCTGGGCCTTAGTTTCCTTGTCTATAAAGCAGAGACAAGTCCACGGTCTTTTATCTGGAACCCACGAGGCCAGATGTGCTCAGAGTAAGATGCAAATATCACACAGAGCATCTTACCCCAGCGGACTTTGGGGCAGCGCCCCTGTGCCAGACGCTTGACTATTCTGTAGTGGGATAAATGAAGGACATTCACGGTCTCACAACCGTTCAAGTCACGATGTTCTGTCAAATTAGTTCTCGCCAAATTTAGGGGAAAACTATGTTTTCAGAGCTGTTTTGTATTGGAGGGATTTGGGGTAAAGGATTGTGAACCGGTAATTTCTCACATGGTTGATAAAAGCGGTGATGTAGCAGACACAAAGTGCTAGAATGTTCAGTATAACTGTCATTATTATAAGTATAATCTTCCTTCCCTCCTCTTGGGTTGAGTCTCAGTTAACTCCCAAGAGATTAGAAAACGGATTACTCATTTTTCTTGAGGCAGAAATAGGGAGGGGGGGGAGCGTTGATATTAAATGTGGCAACAAAAGCCTGGGGTTTCCCAAGACATTTGTGTGACACAGAAGGCTCAGAGGCGTGGGAAGTTCCAAAGAATGGGAACTGAGGTCTCAGTACGTTTTGGGTAGTGCCTTCACCACCCACAACTCAAGCCAGCAGGCAAAAGGGCAAAGACTCAGCCCAGGCTCCCTAAGAAAGCCAGTCAGCCCTCGATAAAGGAAATAAAATATGTCACCAAACACAGAGCTGGCCAGGTCCCTAATGCCTTTTGTCACCTACTTCATACTGCTTTCAAGTTGTAAGTCGGAAAGATGGGAAGTTTGACAAGCCAGAGGTGGTCTTGCAGACTGCTTGATTTTCTTCCAGCATGGCCATAGCACCCCCCAAGCAACCTGGGCAGAATGTTCTCAGTTCAGAAAAAAATCTTCCTGTTGGACAGTCCTGGTCAGCACTGGGACAAGAGTCATGGCAAAAAAACAACATTAACAAATCAGAACCCAAAACCAGCAGCAGTGCTGGGGGAGATTTCATCAGCGCTGTGCTGCATGAGAGGCCAGGGCCAACCAGAGTGATGAGCTGCCCCGCCCCCTCCAACGTCTCTCTCTTAGGCCCCCTAATGTGCGGTAGGCCACGCCCATCCTGGAATACCCTAGGAGCTCACCGCTCCTACACAGAGATGTCGGGGCCAAACTCCTAAAGGCTTCCTGAACATTCCCAAGTGGCTCCACATTCTCAGACAAGGGCAGCTCATGAGATGTAAAGCCCAGAGACTCAGAGGGGAGGGAACATTCCCTGGAATCCCTGTCCAGGAGGCAGCACATTCTGTGTCCTCCCTGGTTTGGCAATTGCTTCTGTCTCCCTGGGCATGACATTGCTGCTCACTATGTCTGTTTTCTCATCATTGGAGAAATCGATGTGACCTTGGTTAAAGTCTGTAAGACACTCGGTTCCAGATAAGCACAGCCTGTCATTAGCGGCACCGTGATTTTTGCTACCGCGGCCTGAAAATTCTGCCTCTCCCAGCTATTTTGGGCTGGCCAGGCTGCCCCATCATCCCACAAGGGCAGAGACTGGTATTGCAAACTTTTGAATTCTGTTCTGAAGGGTAGCGACAGGCAGGCTCAGATGGTGGTGTCCCACTGCCAAGGGGTGGGGGTGGGAGAGTCTCTGTGCAGATTTGGAGAAGGAGCTGAGATGGAAACTTGGCAGCCAGACCCAGCCTCCCTGGCTACTGGCCCACACTCGTTGCTCCTGGATGGTGGTGCCCGTGTTCTGGAAGGCTCGGGGCAGGTGGGGATCAGGACTGGCAGCTGCAAGGACAGGACAGGCTAATCTGCTGTTTTATGATCCTCACTCTGGAGAAGACCCCTGTCAGAGGAGGACAAGCTTCTCCATGGAAGTCCCCTCTGGACTCTTGAAGCAAAGACGGGCAGTCAGGGGTGAGAAGCTACACACGTAGTCTCACTTCTGCCATTTATGTGCTTTCTGACTCTAATCAAGCCACTTAATGCCTCGTGCCTCAGTTTCTCCATCACTCAACGTTTATGCCCCTATTTTGGGAATTCCTTTTCAGCACTTTCAGTTACACAGAGATAGGCATAGACGGGACGATTGGGCAATATTTTACTTGATAAATAAAATGGGAGGGCCCCCTGGTGGACTGCACAATTCTAAGCACCGAACTACGAAATTAGTGAACAAATAAGTAAGTAAACACATGAATGAATGATTAAAGTGAAGAATTTTTAGACTTTTATGCAGAGCCACAGAAAAAAAGGAGAGAATTTCCAGAAGGCAGCCACGGTGAAGTCTCCAATGACGCAAAGAAGACAAGGAAAACCTAATTGTATATGACCATAGAGTCACTGTCGACTGTAAGGAGAGCAGTTTCACAGCACAGCCTCTCTGGGAGGCATTGTCTATTCACTGGATAATGTAAACATCCTTTGACCTAGCGATCTTTCTTCTAGCAATTTATCCTACAAATATATTTATGGTTATGCTCAAATAAGTTCAAGGCTACTGCCCTGAAGCATTGCTCTAATGTAAAAAGATCACAGATATCCTAAAAAGACATCATTAAGGGCCTGGTAAAATAAATTACAGTACATCCACACAGGGGAATACCACACAGCTCTTTAGAGAATGAAGCAGCTCTCTATATAATGATATGGAAAAATCTCCAAGCTATATTGTGAAGTGAAAATTACAAACCTTATGAAAAACATTAAAGAACACCTAAGTAAATGGAAAGGCAAACCATATTCTTGGACAGAAGATTCAATATCATCATAATCTCAATTCTCTCCCAATTAATTTACAGATGCAAAGCAATTCCATTCAAAATCCCAAAAGGTTGGAGTGGGTGGGATGTAGTGGGAGAGAGGGGGGAATTGTCCTGCAACATATGAAGGCTTACTATAAAAGGGTAATAATGAGGACAGTGGCATTAGAGCAGATATGGAAAATTACAGCAATACAACATAATAGAAAGCCCCCAAACCGACCCAGGCATATATGGAAACTTGATCTATGACAAAACTGCCATTGCATGCATGTTACTGGGGAAAGGATGGATTATTTCCCCAAAACAGAACTAGGCATCCACAGAAGAAGAAATATAAATGGCCCCAAAATATAAGAAAAGATACACAACCTTTCAGTAATCAGACAATGAGAAGACATCCAACGCCATCAGATTGGCAAAATTAAAACATCTGATAATATCCGTGGAGCAACAGGATCTCTCTTCCATTATACGTAGTTTTATTTCATTTTTGTAGAATTTATACTAGGCAAAACTAACCAATATGTTGTTTAGCACATACATAACTATGTGCTAACATTATAAAATAAAGCACGAGAATTATTAACACACATTGTGAGATTGTGGTTACCTCTTGGGTGAGAGGGAGTTGGGAACTGGGAGGTGTACCTAGAGAACTTTCAAGATAACAGAAATCTTTTATTTCTTAAGCTGGGAGGCATATATAGACACAGATGTCTTAGTAAATAAAGGATTTGAATCGATTTAAATAATAATAGTAACGTGGTATATGGTTAGGACTCAGTTTAACATGATGGGAAACAAACAAACTCAAGAAGGGTTTGTCCTTCCCGCTCCGCCGCCCCCCCCACCAGGAAAAGTGCAGAACCGTATGTTTAACACATTTATGTTTGGTTTTAAAAAAGGTAATTGAATATATGTATTTATGATTTGTTTGTGTGTCATAAAATATCTCCAAGAATAGCCACAAGAAACTAGTAATAATGATCGCCTCTGGGCAGGGAATGCAGAAGAGGGTGGGAGGGCGGGTTATTTTTCACTGTGCACCTATTTATATAATTTGAATTTTCCCCTGTGCATCTGTTACTTAACGGAAGGCTCTTGGGAGACCGGGGACGTTTGCATGCACGCAGAGGTTGAAGGCGCAGGCCGGCAGAGCACCGATGCACGCTCCTCGCCAAGCTCTGTGTGACACTCCACTGCTACCAAGCTTTTTTCAGGATTTCTAAAAAGGGCATCATTGCAGGACTTGGGGGTGACAGGCAGGAACGCCTTTTAACGCATTCCTTTAAAATAGCTCAAAGGCTGGGGAGGGGACTGGAGAAACCGGATGAACCAGAAACCCTTATACGGGGGGATGTGGGGGGAGTTGACTGCAAGTCAGCGGCAGGGAACCCCTACCCGCTCCCAGGACACTCTAGTCTGCGGACCCGTGCCCTGACCTCTCCTTTGGAAACTAAGGAGCCAAGGAGAGGGGCTCTTTCAGAATGAGAGTGGCAGAAAAGGGTCCGCGCTTCTCCACCTCCAGGCAAGGGGTTCTATAATCTCAGCTCGAGGAACGATAACCCTCCTCCCCAGTAGTCTTCATCCCCCGTACCACCTCCCCCGCTTTTTTGCTTGGCCAGCGTTCCAGAACAACGCGGTGAAAGGTCCTGCGGGTCGGCAGCGCAGACGTCTGCGTCCCTCCCTCTCGTCCTTCGGCGGCCGCGCCTCCTCCTCCCAGACCCGCTCGCTGAGCGACAAAAACCACAACTCCCAGCAGCCCTCGCCCGCGCTCGCGCGCAGCCTCAGAGCGGAGGCTGCCGGGAGCGTGTTGCTCGGAGGCGGGGCGAGCGCGCCGGGCGGAAGTCGACCGCCGCTCGGACCCGGCCCTGCCCGCAGCGAGTCCCAGCCGCCCGCGGGCCCCGGAGCCTGCCCGCACCGGGTGAGTGACGGCTGCGGCCGTGGCCGCCGGCGCCTTTCCTCGCGACGGCCGGCCCCGGCGCCTGCCGCCGCCCTCAGACCCTGCCGCGTCCCGCCCCTTCACCCCGCAGGCTCCCTCCCCATCTGACAGAGCGTGGTCCCAGGCCCCTGACCCGCAGACCGGCTCTCCCCTCAGACTGCGGTGGGACGCCTCCCTCTGACTCTGAGAAACTGTCCCCTTCCTCCGACTGGGCGCGGACACCTCCCCTTTCTGACTTGCGGGACACCTCCCCTTTCTGACTTGCAGGACTCCTACCTCCTCTGACTAGTGTGGACATCACCCCCTCTGACCCTGAAGGACACATTCCCTTCCTGACTCGTGTGGGACACCTATTCCTGAGGACAGCCCTTTCCTGCCCCCCTGTGATTTCGCTACCCCTACTCTGACCTGTGCAGGGCCTCTCCTGACCTGTTGGGGAGCCCTCCCTTCTCTGACTGGCACTCTGTCACACCTGCAGCAGGCCGACCTTCCCCACCCCAGCCCAGGCCTTCCTCTCCTTTCCCTCAGCACAACTCACTTTCCTGCCTTTTGCACCCAAGCTATCCCCCTTCCCTCTCCCCCACCCCTCCCTCACCTGTCTTGCTCCTTTCATCCCTGGGATCAGAGGGGATCAGCACCTCCTCACCCTCCTTGTTGCTGGTGCCTTTCCCTTGCCCTCTGTGTCTCTGGGCTTGGCTGGCACCTAGTACCTGCGATCACTCTTCTGTCTGCCACACGCATCTTGTTCCCGAGCGCCTGAGTGTCCCCAGGAAACCAGTATCCCTTAGCACACTTGCCCCATGGCTCATTCCTGTCTCAGGGTGTATGCTTGACATCTTTCCCCTCAACGTTTTCAACAAAGGATAGATTTGGGAACACGCATCTGCTGATGTCGACTGAATCTTGCTGGCTCTTCAGTGCGAGGGCCGGGGGTCACAGAAGGGAGAAAAGAAAGCGGGTGCTGCAGTCCTTCGGGAGCTGTGGGGACTCTGCGGCCTCTCCCTCCTTTCCTTTTGAGGAGCTTTATTGAGAATCTTCCTGAGCTGGGCTGCAGACCTTCCGCCAGTCCCCAGCCCCGCCCACAGGCCTCCCAACTGAACAGTCCAGCCTGAGCCTGTGGGCACCGTGGGGCTTTTTCCAGAGCAACCAGTGGCCTCCTTGGTGCCCCTCCCTGCCGGCCTCAATGAGCCTTCTATTCAGACCTGGAGTGCCCTGCTGAAAGGCACATTGATGGGCCAGCCTGCTCCCCTCTGGACTTGGCAGGGGCATCCCGTCCTGCGCAGCCCGGACGTCTTCCGGGAGAGGACTCAGGTGAAGCGTGGATTGGTCAGGCACTGTCACAGGGCCACTGCAGTGGTCTGGGGACAGAGGAGTCTTGGTGTCCTCACTCTTTCTTGTCCAAATTAACCTGATCACGAAAGGCGATGCTACGTCACAGGGCCCTGGCGGAAATCATATACTTGCAAGTGTCTAGGTGCCACTTTGTGTCACTGCATGATTGAGGTGTAAATCTGATCATTTGATACCTTATGTTAGCTAGAAGTCTCCTTCTTCCCCCTAAAGCTGTACCCCACTGGTAGTGCATGCCATGTTTTCATAGGCGTGGTAAGGGTGTTGGTTTAAGCTGTCAGTACTTGAGGAAATTTTTACCTGCCGGTCTAACTGCACCGAATCTGCCATCATGCCTCCCCGCGCCACAACGGCAGTGAGGAGAGACCCCGGTGCAGTAGGAGGTGGGGTGTTCACTCCCACTCCCTGAATGTGGCCTTTGAGGTGCACACGAGCAAGCTCTCACAAATACACACAGCCCCTTTCATCTGAGTCCCAGGACTTTCTGGGCAGCAGTGTGGCGGTTCCGATGGCATCCATGTAGGGTAGGTGTGTAAATGCTCCAGTGTTTTCTCTTTCAAAGACAGTATCTCAGATCTGGGAATATGGTCCAGAGTCCTGAAATGGATCAGTACTATGACATGGGAGTCATTTCTCTGTTGTACAGACATTTGTGGAATGATACCCGGGACACTGTGGAAAAAAAAAAGGGACTATTTTTTTCCCTTCAGTAACACTCTGGACTGTGGAGATTTCCTGGAAAGCTCTTTTTTTTTTTTTTTTTGTGAGGAAGATCAGCCCTGAGCTAACATCCGTGCTAATCCTCCTCTTTTTTTTGCTGAGGAAGACCGGCTCTGAGCTAACATCTATTGCCAATCCTCCTCCTTTTTTTTTTTCCCCCCAAAGCCCCAGTAGATAGTTGTATGTCATAGTTGCACATCCTTCTAGTTGCTGCACGTGGGACGCGGCCTCAGCATGGCCTGAGAAGCGGTGCGTCGGTGTGCGCCCGGGATCCGAACCCAGGCTGCCAGTAGCGGAGCGCGTGCCCCAACCGCTGAGCCACGGGGCCAGCCCCACCTGGAAAGCTCTTATTAAATGCCAACATTGGGCCGGCCCCGTGGCTTAGCGGTTAGGTGTGCGCACATCCGCTGCTGGTGGCCCGGGTTCGGATCCCGGGCGCGCACCGACGCACCCCTTTGCTGGCCATGCTGAGGCCGCGTCCCACATACAGCAACTAGAAGGATGTGCAGCTATGACATGCAACTATCTACTGGGGCTTTGGGGGAAAAATAAAATAAATGCCAACATTAAGGGAATTTAAAACTTTTATATTGATTTTTTTAGGACTTTTATGTAGATTTTCCCTTTCATTAGACCAAGACAATTACTTAGGAAAAAATAATCCTGGTAATAGAGAAATCTGTTTGGGGAGATGTTCATTTTTCTCTTTTGTCTACAGTTCTTTTGAATCCTACTTGTTGATCTATAATAAGTGCAGTCGTTAATGGAGCTCACAGCTCCGGGTTCCCAGGCAGAGCACTGCTTCCGGCCATGTTCAGCCAGGGGAACATGCTGTGGGGAATGACGCAGGAGTAGGGCTCAAGACAGGGCAGGGCAGTGTGCAGACATGGGGCCAGACTGGGTATGGTTATGGCGAGTGACAATGTGGGCGTGAGTGAGATTGGAGCCCGCCCAGAATGGCTCCGAGGGGTCTCGCAGGGTGGAATGAGTCCTGCGATGTTGGCCACTGTCACACCTGCAGCAGGCCAACCTTTCCCACCCCAACCCAGGCCTTCTTCCCCTTCCCCTCAGCACTGAAGAAATTGGGAGAGAAGATGGGTTTGGGCAGGTGGAACTGCAGTGTCTGTGGGGACAAACCCTGATTTGGGTCATTCATGGGATTATTGCATCCCTTTATTCTCAAGCTGGAAAAACACCCCAGTGATGTGTAGTGTTGTTTCAACTGAGAGGGTAACTTTTTTCCTACAATTCCCAGGTATAACATTGATGATACAATTAAGCATACACAGCCCTACTGTGATGCAGTAAATATAAACCGTAGAGTATTCTGAAGCTGTGCCACCCACCCCATAAATGGAGCTGTGTGTGAACAGTTCTGGCCCTTAGGGAAAGCTGGAGGTTCTTTCCCTGTCTCCCTCTTTGTGAGTGGCAGAATAATGGCCCCCCAAGATGTCCACGTCCTAACCCCCGGAACCTGTGAATATGTTACGTGGCAAAGGGGGATTAAGGTAGCAGATGGAATTAAGGGTCCTAATCAACTGACCTTAAAATAGGGAGATCATCCTGGATTACCTGGGTGGGCCCAGTGGAATCACAGCGTCCTTAAAAGTGAAAGAGGTGTGCAGAAGAAGAGCATTAGAGGGAAATGATGGCAGAAAGGCACAGAGAGGTGCAACATTGCTGGTTTTGAAGGTGGAGGAAGGGGCCGCAAGTCAAGGAATGCGGGCAGCCTCTAGAAACTGATCAAGGAAGGAAGCAGATTCTCCCCTAGAGCCTCTGAAAGGAACACAGCCCTTGATGTTATCCCGGTGACACCCATGTCAGACTGTCCAGCAGCGCTGTAAAATAAGTTTGTGAGGAAGCTGCCAGATCTGAGTGACTTGTTACAGCAGTGGTAGAAAACTAGTGCGCTCCTCTTGGGTAGTTGACTTAAAAACAAAAACAGAGGGCTGAGCAATGAGTTATCCTGAACCGTATTTAACTTGGTCCAGTAAGCAGTCGTGAACGCCTGTTGTATGCAGAGTCAGGGGGGCAGGGGAAGGCAGAATTCAGTAGGATCCAGAGTCTCAGCCTTTAAGGAAGTTACGTCTGGGAGGAGGAGTTACCTCAGTAATCCTTATAGGACATATTTGACCACGACAGCGTTTTCCTTCCTGGTTTCCTTCTGCTGCCCACTCCTGTCCAAAATTGAAATGGCATTTTCAAGTACAATAATAAGCTTTGGTGAGTTAAAAACAGAAGAATGCCTCGAATTAGGTAACATTTTCAAGGAGCCTGGCCACAGGCAGTGTTTAATAAATGTCACTCATCCAGCGTTCTCTCCCCAGCGTCAGCACTGGTGCTCTGAAGCCCTTGGCCTCTGTCCTTGCTGCTCTCAAGAGTCTGTGAGGTCCGCGGGGGTGGCTCTTTCCTTTCCAACCAGGAGGTGCACTGTGGCAGTGAGCAGAGCAGAGCCTGGGCTCTTTAGGACCCTTCAGAGACCGTAGTGGGCAAGGGAAGGCAGCTGCTCAGCAGGAGTGAGGGCCTGGGGAGGAGGAGGCAGGGAGCTGGGAGTGGCCCTCCTTATCTCTCACTTCCTGCCCTTCCCTAGATCCTGGAAAGAAGGAACTGGCTCTGGCAGCTGCCCTTAAACCTGTTTGTTCTGCCACCTGTCACATACCACTCCTGAAGGAAGCCTAAGAAAGAGACCCTCCCCGTAGGCTGTGTCAGGAGTTGCTGCCCCTGTCGTCTAAGCCTTGGGTAGAGTCTGGTGGCAGGCCTGGGGATGGCCTGGGAAGGTAGGGTATCTGAGCTCATTTAACCGTGGAGGGGCTGCTCGCTCCTGAGGTAGGGTGGGAGCGTCTCCCGGGTGTGCACAGAGAGGACGTGCTGCTCCCCTTGGAGTCTGGTACACCTTGCTGTTTCAGGCCTCT